AGCATGGCATGCTTTAAAACAGCAGGAAAAAAGGTATAGCTGTAGAAGAGCTGTGCAACACACATCATTTTGCCATAAATCATGTCTTCCCATGTGACTTGTAGTTGCTACAGTCTAGTCTGTCTAATATTGACTGTACCTTGTATGTTTTCTAACATTTCAATCAGGATAAAATACCCCAGGGTGCAATTAGCAGCAATGACTAAGGTTGGCCAACACCCTCGGTACCTTTTGAAAAGTGCCCAAATACTAATTATTTTGTGAACAAGTTTTGTTGATTCAGCTTAAAAGACTGAGGCGCGCCTAGAGGTCTTTGAAATGCAAACAGTGTTTGAAAGGTTGCCTGCAGATGAGGAAACCCAAAGGGGATAATTAAGTGGATCAATTGCATTGTGAACGGAAAGACACAACTGCCATGGCCTTGATATCTAAGTCAGCGGGTGAGGAAAGGTGCAACCCATCAAAGAGGCGGCCAGGCAGAGATGAGAGCCCTGTGCAAGTTCAAAAGCTCGTCTGTCCCCATATTACCTTACTCCCTGCATCTCTAATATCCTTGGTCCAATATGGCTACAACCACACTCCCTTTATGTTTCAATTCTCTTTGGCATGCCCCCTGCCCATGCTGGTAGCCCGGAGCCCAGCTGTGTGTTGATTTGGAACAATCAATTGATCACCAGCTTTATGGAAGGGGGAGTAGGGACTCACTTTCTTGGCTGGAGGTGAGGGCCCCGGGAAGCCTCTTCCCCAAACACTGGCCAACGGGGCATGAGAACAGGAACGCCTGAGCTTTTCCTCTTCTGCGTTCATGCCTCTCGAATACATTGAGACACTTGTCTGGCTAATATGCTGCTCCCACCTCTCAGCGCTGGGTCTGCTGGAGTCTCTAATGCAGGGGTGGGCTGTACGTTTTTGCAGGGGGGGGTACTTAATGAATTTCTGGTGTGTGGTCATGGGCTGGCTCCACCCCAGAAGGGGCGGGGTTGGGGAACTAGCCTCCCCCAGTGTTGGCTGGCCCCAGGCTTTGGATTCAAAGCACAGCAAGGGGCTCCGAGCACCTACTCCTGCCACTACTGCTTTGCCTGGCAGTCACCCAAGTCGTGGCTCTTGGCTCTAGCCCCGGTTGGGCTAGCTCTGCGACTGGGAGGATCCTGCTGCCTGAGGCACTGCCTGGAAATTCGGTGGCATGGGCAGGGGCGGCAGGGTATAAATAGAAAGCGGCCAGCCGCGGTCTGTGGGCCGATCCAGCCCCTGGGCCACATCTTGCCCAGTCCTGTTCTAATAGTGGCTGGGGCCAGCCTCCTGGCTCCCCTCCCCCGCCTCCAGCGTTCTGTCTACACGGCTCTTTTTAGAGCATGGGGGGGGCTGCTCCCAAATGCTGTGGAAACAGCTGGGGTGGGATGAGTGGGGCAGGGGGTGGAGACAGCTGGTGGCTATGGCCCCAGGGCTGGGAACTGCTCTCTGCCCGCCCCAGGGGCGTTTCCGTGCCAGCGAAAAGGGGTGAGAGTTTTAAAAAGGGAGCGGGCGAGAGCCGGCCGGGGACCGGCGGAACGCCCCGCCGCAGGATGCTCCTGGCGACA